TTTTTTTCAATATGTTGGTGTAAACTGCAGCAAGAAAACATGAGTTAAGGGAGATTATAACCACGTGAAAAGAGAGTTTTCAAGTTTCCCACTGTTACACTTCTGCTCTGAGAGGGATTATGTCAGTTTAGAATTAGTGACAAGTGTGGCAGAGTAAGGGCTGACTCTGCTTTTAGGAACTATTTCAGAGGAGACACCTCTGTTAAAGGTTTGCATTAGGTGTGAGCGGACTGAACAGTAACAGTGCTCAGAACATTTCAACCTTGTTCCAAGCAATTTAGATCCTTCCGCTGTTGACATCATGACACTAGGTTTCATTGCACATGTTGCTCTTTAGGCTTGGGGCAAGAATAGTTATCTTTGTTTGTGGAATTGTCTTTTTCTTCCATTTCACGTGGGGTTATATTGTCATTTCTTCAGTGCTGTAATTATGGTGGTGTTATAGGTTTTCTATTGCGTGCCAAGTTCTTGAGTGACTTTATGACTTCAAACCATATTAAAAGCAATAAAATGCAGTAAAAGTATTGGCCAAGGAACTCTGCTGACTTTATGATATCATTCTCTGTGTTAGCATTGTTTTATAGCATTGAACAATAATACTCCGTGTTATACAATAAACATATGCACTGCACAGTGGCTGCAGCATAAAGCAAATGAGCAGCCTGTGGACTTTTCTTCAGGGATGTCCCTCTCCCTGTGGGCATCAGGGAGGCTTCGGCTTAGCTAATGTGTAGCCTCCCTCCAGTGGCTGCAGAGAGAAAATGCCTTTGGTTCTTCTCTCCCCATGCCCGGCACGTTCGGCACCCAACGAGTAAGCGAACGCAGCGGGAAGAAAGCGGCCTGGGAGAGGGAAGCAAAGCACGTCCTGTGAGCAGGAATATCACACACACCTGTAAGCAACCACAGGTGCCCAGCCGTGTGCTGCCCGTATTGAGCAGCAGGGAAGCTTACTCACTGCAGTTGAAATATGTTTGAAACCTCACTTTTTCCTTGCTGTTGATTCCTTTTTGCCTTCGTGAAGACAATTATGTACTTCATTCCGAGTACGAACGGTCGCTGACACCACATCATCCTGATGCAACAATATCCAGCGATGAGCCAGTTTTACAGTTTAGGCATAATGATGACAAACGGAGACCACAGAATGCTAAAAGCCCCTTATAACCTTTATTTTCCTATCTTAATGCTAAAGCAAAGAGATCTGCGAGGCAAACGAAACCATCATGTGTCCTATGTGCGAACGCAACTGCACGCTCCAGAAGCTCAATGAAAGCTGCATGTACGCCAAGGTAACTGCTGCCCTATTGCTCTCCAGATACTCCCTGTCTAAAAGTCCACTTTGACTGTATAATGGCTGCCCTTCTTGCAACAAAGAAAGACTCCTACACAGCATGTTGTTTCTCAGAGTTTTGGAATTCATGCATAAAGTAAATGTGAAATCTCTGAAATGTTAAGAGGTTATTTCTCAGGTTTGCTTTGATATGAGCGAGCACTTTCTTCCTAAATCCTTTTATTTTTTATCAGTTTATAATGTCTCCTGAGCATCAAGATTTTCTTGGAAGATTTCATTTTATTTTCTGCTGTGATTGACTTATTATGCTGTTTTGCTTGCATATTTGGCGATTGATCTTTCTGCTCTTAAAGGGATCCTCTTGTGCTGCACGGGATTATAATGTACTCAGGTTTTATTGTCAGAACATAACTTATTTCTCTGTATTGCTTGTGTACAGCCAGAGAGCTGAAGTGTTAGGGAAGCTATTCATTTTTTTTTTTTTTTAATCCTTACCTGTTACTTTGAAATAACTTATATAGCAATATGTAAATGTATAAGCATCAAGTTAAAGTAACTTAGTAACTAAACTTTTCATAATTAAGTGACCTTTCCCTCCCTGGGCCTGATCGCCAAGGGACCTGCCGACCTGCCTTGTCTACAGAAGGCCTTGTGCTTGTATTTTACTTTATTAGAACTTTAGTCAAGGGTTTTGTTTAACATATGTCAGTTTTCCATGTTTAGGAGCAGTTTTTATAGACTAGGAAGTAGAAAAAGCAAATCCTATAGTGCAGGTGTGTTTTTCTGCCAAGTTTTTGCAAAGCTGGAGGCAGAACACAAGGATGCCTTTTTCCTTCCTGTTACTGACCATTTGTTTCATCCCCTCCCTCTCTTGTTTTTTCTCTAATTAAACCCCTCCCTGAAGTGAAGCTTATAATGTAGGGGAAAGGAATGTAAAAGCAGGCTTGTGACCTGAGTCCCAGAGAGCCCAAGCAATGGTTCCTGTCCACGTGCAGTGAACTCTAGTCAGTGCTCAGCCCCAGGCAGCCCCGCTGCCACGGCGCCCTGCCCTCGCGCGCAGGCTTCGAAGCCCTGGCTGCCCCATATGGTGAGGATGATGATGATGATGATAGCAGCCAGGCACGCGGGCTGACGAGGCCTGAAGCTTTCAGTACGTGCCACTTCTGCCTCAGAGCCTCTGCTCAAGGCGGCCT